CTGCGAGACTTCCTAGGACAGTTATTATCCTGAGTATGACGATAAACTACACCCGTGTCATGGGTATGACTATAAACTACATCCGCGTCCTGGGTAAGACGTTAAACTATGTCCAGCAGCAAGGCCTCTGATCAGGAGGTTTTGAGGAGCGTGGAACCACCTCTTAATTGCTTGTGTTCGCAGGTCCACTCCGATCCGGGGTGGTAGCACCTGTTAGGGTCCCAGCTCTGGGTAAATAGTCAACGCCGAAACTGAGGTAAAAAGCATTATAAAATATTACCAGCAATACGTTTTTGAGGAAATCACTATTACCAGTAATACGTTTTTGAAAAGACTATTACCAGCAATATGTTTTTGAAAAAATAATATGACCAGAGTTTGAGGAAAAAATATTAACAGAAATAAATTTTTGACAAAAATATTACCAGGAAAAAAAAGTTGTCGGCATTAAATGACCCACTGAGTTTGATATGCCGTAAAACAAAACAAACCAACACCAAATCAATCCTAGCGGCGCCATATCGAGTCTAGTTCCCTTCATCTTAATCACCGAGTCCCGTTGGTACAGTTGGCATGACGTTTGCCTGTCAATGTAGCTGTCCGGGTTTCAATTCTCGGTAGTGGATGCGCACTGCTGATGAGTCCCAGATATAGGACGAAATGGCCGTCCAGTGCTTTCTGCATTCTGTTGAGGTTTCTTCTAGACTCGATGAATTACTTAATTATCTCAAATCCTCCTTAATTTATATCATATATATATATATATATACACACACACAAGAGTGTATCTATCTACAGGGTGAGGCAAAAGCCGCATATGGGTTAATAGATAGGTCGAAGTGGTTCTGTTTAGGGGTCACCGAAGTCACAAGAACTCACACCCTTGGGGTTTTTTTTTCTGTGAAGCCATTTGAAATCAGTTTTATTATTCTATCTGCTTAATAATGTTTTTCCTTTTCTCATATTCTTTCGTAGCCTCTTAGTGGCTTTATTGCCTTCCTCGGCGTGAAATGATAAAAGAATCTGAACGAGATCTTGGCACAGAGACATAGATATATATTCAAAGAAATCTGTAATATTTGTATAGATTGGAAGGTAAACGTGGACGATGAGATATAATACATTTATTTTTCTGACTGCTAGCGTTTGCTATATGCATTCAGAGCTGGCTTTGGGTATTGTTTAACGTGATATTGTTTTATAATGGCTTTTAGAATTTGTAATCGTTTTTTTTTCTTGTTTTTTTCTTTTTGAGAACTTTCAAGCGAACTATTAGTGCTGAAATAATCTGACGGAAACATTAAAAAAAACAAGGTCCTATTTTCACATTAATACACACCGTGAAAGCTGGTGTTACTCATTAAATAAATAAAAACCAAGTATTAATTACAGGTTTTTAAAAATCAGTTATTAATTATAAGGTTATCAAAATCTGGAATGAAATATTGGTTTCTTCTTCTGACACATTCAAGCACACCTAACTATTTTTTTTTTTTTTGTTTGCAAAAGCTGTTATTCTGGCTGGATTTAGACATGATTTTGCCGGGAATTGAGAGCAAAAAATGTGAACACTATTTACACAAATAATTTGGCTCAGTTTCACAAACATACCCACAAAAGTTGGGTTTATATATAGACTAATTGCGGTGTCAAAAGAAAAACTGTCCACTTGACACAGTCTTTTGTATGTACATTTGTTAAACATTATCTAAACACATTTGTTAAACTTTATCACACACACAAATATATATATATATATATATATATATATATATATATATATATATATATATATATATATATTTAGATTAAATTTAGATTTTAAAATGGGTAATTTTTATATTTTAAATTTAATTTCAAATTTTATCATATAATTTAATACTTATTAGTTAGAATAAATTCTATTTTAGTATAACTCCAACTTTAAAATCATTAAATAGCTATTATAACCTCACTTCGTTGTCAAGTTTTTTGAATTCTCGTATACTTGTATTTTGATTGATCATTCCAGCTTATGTAACAGCGTTTCCGCTTATCGAGGGATGTTTCATTGATTTGAACCTTTTAAAACACTTTTTATTATACATTCAACACCATCACTTGATAAGACACCAGAGGTGTTGAAACAAAATGGTTATTTTTGTATTGATTTTATAACATATTTATAATTTTAAATAATTCCTAATATATATATATATATATATATATATATATATATATATATATATATATATATATAAGTTATGAAAAAACTTATTTATAAGGAGCTAATAGTTAATTTATTTACAATATTAAAAGAGTACTATTGGTCGGGTAAACAAACTGTTATAGTTTAAAAAAAATTTTAATGTGTTTTCTATGAATGTGTCAATAAATACAGTATTTAATATATATTAAATCCCTAAATTATTTGTAAAAAACGTAAATATTTAAATTGCTAGCAAACATCAAATTAATTGATCTATTCCCCAGTCTTTCTCTTATATCATTTCCTCTATAAATCCTCTTTTTTCTCTTTTTCCAACTCTCTGTAACCCCTATACGTGCTAGTGGCTTCCTGCCTTGTTTGGGTGAAACGCTTAAAAGAAAAAGAAAAAACAAACCATAAAAATAGGACCAGACTGCAATCAAAAGAACCAAGGCTGCACCGAAGTAAAGAAAAAAAGTCCGTACAAATGAAAGCCCAGATCAAACGAGAGCCAGGTGAGTTTCCAATGCTGAGAATATACAAAGACTTAGGGATTCTCAAACTTCTGAACAAGCTGAAGGCCTAATCATGAGCCCTCCACTTAAATGCCGCCCGAGATAGAGGCTTTTAAGTTAGCTCATAATCATTTTTTTCTTATTTAAATACAAAACCACTACTTTTGGGGCCAATTTAAAAAATTACCAGGGATCTCTTCAAACATTTGAACTGTGTATATATATATATATATATATATATATATATATATATATATTGCATAAAACCAGATCACTTTAAGGTTCCATGTAATAAGTTATTTCAATACAACCCTTTTTTTTTCATCTCAACTTTTGGAAGTAAAGTCTGATGATCCAGAGCCCTTTAAAAGAGTTGTGGTGAAATAACTTATTACATGGAACCTTAAAATGGTCTGTTTTTATTCAAACATATTTATCTGAATTTACATTGATTGACATCTGGATATCATCCCCCTTGGGTCTACCCATTCGGATTACCTAGTTTTGCATAAACTATATATATATATATATATATATATATATATATATATATGTATATATGTATGTATGTATGTAGATACAGATGTATGTATAAGACATGATATCGCCATCCACGGTCCATATGTATGATTTTTGACCAAAAGTCCAACTTTAACACCGGGACACAAATTATTTAATTAATTTGTGGAGCAAGTGACAGAAAATTATCAGTTCGAGTTAATCAACTTACAATGCGGAAAATGTTTTTTTAAAACCAAAATGTAATTACGAATCCATTACTGACTTCTAAAAGAAATATGTTTTGCCAAGCGGAAAATATAAAAGCCGATTGAATGGTATCATTATTTGGAAGTACATATGCTTGTGAACAACATTTTCGAAAATGAAATATACTAAAATCGTTTTTCTAACAAGGTTGAGTGATGAGCACCTGGATAATATTTTGCTCCTGTTGTCGACAAAATATTTCACCTGATGTGGAGAAGTTAGCGAACTATAAGCAGAAACAAATGTCCCATTAAATAATTTGCCATTTTTTAACTGCATCTCATTTTTTTGTTGTTAGTTTTAGTTGTTATTCTGTCATATCTGCAGTAAAATAAGGAAACTTCTTTAAATAATATAACAAACATCGTTGTTTCTTCTGTAAAACTCCAAACCAAGGCAGTCGTCTGGACGTAACGGTCTGGAAGCCAGACAATATATTTTCTTAAATTTGTTAAAATGGCCTCCACCGAGACACTGCATAGCTTTCTGGCCCTCTCACTCCTAAAAAATTGCCGACCCCTTGCAGGAGACGAAGTCGAAAAATTATGTAACGTATATCGTTCTTGAAAATGATACCATCAGATAAAAATAATGTTTTTGTTTTGTTTTTACCTCAAATAAGGCAAATAATTACGAGGACTCAAGAGTTTACTGTGTAGTTTTTCTCATATCCTTGATGAACGAAATAAAAAGTTCAGTTAGAAATTCCAATCACTTGAAGAAGGGCGCACAACGGCCGAAAAGTCGTGAATATGGCAATAAAGTTGAGGACAATAATCCGAATATGAATAATGTAACATATCTTTTTTTTTTTTTTTTTTCCTAATATATATTATTATAAATATATATATATATATATATATATATATATATATATATATTTCATTAAATTTATCGCCCACGTGACAAAAACGTGATCATATTGCATCCAATTTTTACGCTGATCTTAAAAAATTTCAGTTATTCTGTTTTGATTAGTCTTATGTCTATCGTCTTTTCATGTTGACTTGAATATCATCTAATTTTAAATATGTTTTAATAACTATGTCCTGAAGAAGGTCTACTAGACCGAAACGTCTGACGTCGACATTGAAATAACATTAAAACAGCATACTTGCATATTCGGATTTTTGTTTTTCCATATTTTTTTTTCATACTGTCGGATCTATATCCACATATTTGCTCACACACACACACACACACACACACACACACACACACACATTGAATGTGTATATATATATATATATATATATATATATAATCGTAATTCATTTTGTATCTTACATCAAAGTATTCCAATCAAATCACTGTGTGGTGTAGAAATTTTTGTGTATATATATATATATATCTTTCTCTCTCCCCATTTTGCAGAGTTTTATTTTATTTCATTTTTTGCTTATCCAGCAGTCAAAGTCTTGTTCAATATCAATCAACTTCCTTTTTTTTTTAATTTCATTTCCGGTGTAACTATTTGCGTCTAATGGGATTTTTCGTTATTTTCTTTTACATTTCTCTCTTCCACTCACATGCTTTTTTGTCATATTTCTCTTCCTCTCTCTCTCTCTTTCTATTTCTCTCTCATTCTCTCTCTTTCTCCCTCTCCAGTAGTGAATGTTTTTTTTCTTCTTCCCTTCACATCATTTTTTTAAAAATTATTTTTGTTTACCTGTTATTTTTTTCTTTATCAAGGTTTCTTTTTCTTTCTTTAAAATCCATAAGGCTTTACTGTCTTCTACAATCTCTATCTTCTTTCTTTCTTTCTTTCTTTCTTTCTTTATTTTTTCTTTCTTTTTTTCTTTCTTTCTTTCTTTGAATGCATCAATTTTTTTATTGCCTTTTTTACTAGCTTTATCTTCCCCCATTTTATTCTTTCTTTCGCTAATGGTTCTTTCTTTCTTTTTTAATGTTTTCTTTCTTTAAAATCCATAAGTCTTGACTTTTTTCTTCTACGATCTATATCTTTCTTTCTTTCTTTCTTTCTTTCTTTCTTTCTTTCTTGAAGTTTTCTTTCTTTAAAAACATCAGCCTTTTTCCTATCTTTTTACCATATATTTCTGCACTTTGCTCTTTCTTTTTTTCTTTCTTTCTCTCGTTCTTTTTTTTTCTTTCTTTCTTTCTTTCTTTTTTACTTTCTCTTTTCTTCCTTTCTTTTGTAAAAAATCCATATGAAATTTTTACATTTACTTTTTCTATTTCTATATCTTTCTTTCTTTTTTTTCTTTTTTCTCTTTTTTTTTTCTTTTTTTAAAAATCTGTAAGCCTTTTGTTACTTTTTTAAATCCATATTCTTTTGTTTTTTTTTTTCTTTTTCCTTTCTCTTTCTTTCTTTCTTTCTTTCTTTCTTTCTTTCTTAACGTTTTCTTCTTTTTCTTTATTTCTTTCTTTCTTTCTCTTTTCTTCCTTTCTTTTTTAAAATCTGTAAGCCTTTTACCGACTTTTACAATCCATATCTTTTTGTTTTTCTTTCTTTCTTTTTCCTTTCTTTCTCTCTTTTTTCTTTCTTTCTTTCTTTCTTTCTTAACGTTTTCTTCTTTTCCTTTTTTCTTTTCTTTCTTTCTTTCTTTCTCTTTTCTTCCTTTCTTTTTTAAAATCTGTAAGCCTTTTAAAAATTTTGAAAAAAATTAGATATCTTTTTTTTTTCTTTTTTTCTTTTTCCTTTTTTTCTCTTTCT